CTCCAATATTTTTGGATATGTATTTTTAAAACACATACACAACAAAACTGTACAGTACAAAATGAGTATAAAACTAATAAAAGGAATAAGTAGAAAACAACATTGACAGTTTCTGTGAAAATCGGAGAACTTTTCAAATCAGTATAACCCTTTTCTATCTTGCATAAAAATAAAAGTGATGAATATCTATGTGAGGCTGGGGTGTTGTGTTTTATTTGTGGCATATGTTAAGAAATACTGATAATGTCATAATAGGCCTAAGTCTACATATAAATGCAAATACTGCCTTGAATGGAGTTTAGCTCCTGCCTTAATTTGGCATTGCCTTCTTCAAGAATGTTCTTCCCAGTCTAGCTAAAGCCCTGGAATCTCCTGATTGTTTTCATTCCATATACAAATGTGCCCCTGTGTTGTAGTATGCTTAACTTTGTCACATTTTGCACATGTTGGCTAAGTTCATATATGCTAAACACAGATGATTTGTTGGCATCCAAATGTAAAAAAAATATAGTTTTGTGAATAAGCCATAATTGTTTGTTTCATATTTAGTGTTAAGCCATATGAGTTGGTTCATACAGCATGCTAATCCAAAAAAACAAACAGTTTTATAGTTTATTCCAGTGTGAATTCAGCCACTAAGTTACCAAACAGGTGGATTTTAGTTTTTTGTCTCATGAGAATGGTTCTGTTTGGGATAACCACAAATGCCTCATGAACATTCTGACTTTTCAAATTATGTTCCTCTAAATAAAGTTATATGTGCCAGACACAAGCTATATAGGATAGTTCTGTACTTATGTGGTTCATGAGATGGTGAAATTAATAGCTGTTTGTAGTATTGCGATAACCTGGTTTAATAAAATGTGGTTTTTTTAAGCAAACAGTTTAAACACAACGGTCAACTGACAACTCTAAAGACTGCAACACCTGCAGATGTGAAACATTTATGTAATATTTTAGAACACAAATGCTTTTAAATTTGGCCATCTAGGTTAATTTTTATCTTTTGTAAGGTACTATTTTGTCTGTAAAAATATTTCCTTTAATTTATAAAAATCAATTTCTCTTTCATGAAATATATTCTTTAGTATTACAAACTTCTCTATTGAATTGTAAATTAACATGTTATAGTAATCTGATTTGTACTATTATTAGTACAGAAATATGTACAGTAGTATGTGAAGAACTATCAATAGCAAGCGTAATTGAATTCAGTTATTTGAATCTTGCTGTTCTATGGCTTATTTAAATCTATAATTTGTAACTGGAATCATTAATTTGACAATGAAAGGCCCTTTGAAGACAAAACTATGAGAAACTCTTGAGCAACCTGAAACAATTCTAGGTGCAGAATAACAATTATGAGGGAAAGCTGTGATATTAGCCATGTTAATTTACACATCGATCCACTGATTCCAGTACTGTACAGTTTAATCATAAGTGAATGCACCTATATTCTTTACAACTAAATATAAGAAAATGGATAGTCCAGTTAAGTCTGTGAGTTTTCACTCAATCAGGAGATCCTATAATAAGAAAGAGAGTCTTACTGTGTTTTAGTAAAATACAGGTACTTTATAGTTGGGAAATTGTGCACTGTCGTATTTTTAAGAAGGAGTTCAAGGATGACTGTCTTAAGTATTACTTTTTAGTTTCTCAAATTCATGTGTAAACTCACCTCACAGCCTGGCTGTTGTAAGCAAACAATATTATGCAGACCATGGTGGCTCTTTATAATTTCTTTCACCATCAGCCCATCAATTAATGAAATTACACTGTTAGACAAAATAATGAAAGTGCAAGAAATTGCCTTTTCCCATAAGCACAATATAGCTAGCCTTTTCTTAAAGCAAAAGTGATTAAAGCCATCCTGAATCAAATCTGAGTCTAAAACTGAACTAGTAAGTGGAGCATGCAAAGTTACTAGTGAAAGTAAAAAATGTGATGGCCTAATGAACTCAGGAAGTGAACTCAGGAAGTGTGTTCTGTTCCATTGAAGAAGCTCTTTTAGTTGCTAAAGTTTTTGATGACTTTTATTTTTTCTTCTGCTTAAAGACTGTAACAGAAATACATGGTGTTGGACATAATTGCATAAATGCCAAACTAGTCTGGTAGTACCTATGGGTAAGGTATTTAACCATTTGGTCTGATGTCACTCAACTCAGAGAACTGAAGTCAGTGCCAGTATCTGCAAGAAGCAGCTATTTTGGCTGGTGCCCCAGTAGCCTAATATCAACAATTATAACTGCATGATAAAATAAATTAAAACTGGCCCATTTAGGATCAAAGGCCCTGCAGGTGGGTTGGAGGAAAGCAGCCTTTCCTCCCCTCCATGTATTTATGGGGAGCGACAATTTTAAAAAATTGCAGATGAAGCAGCACAATTTTGCATTTACTTTAGCTTCCTCAAATTTCAAATTAATGTTCCTGGGATTTTTTTTACATAAAGAGCCCCCAAGTTATTTTAGGTAAACTTCCTAGAAACTTTGGGTTAACATTGGTTAAGGCAACTAACTTATATTTAATTCAACATATTGTGCTAATTTAACATAGTGCTAATGTGGCCATTGTCTTTAAATGATTGTAAGTTTTCAATAAACATTTCCATAGAAAGCTTTGAGTTTGAACATAAGGTTCATATCATATTAACAGAATCTTACAGTAATAAATATTGGAAAGGTCATGAAACAGAATGTTTTATCATATTTGGTGGCCGTGTTAAAAACCTCAAAGTACCAGAAAGACAGACATAGTGTAACACAGAAAATCTTGGAATTTAAATTTTAAATGAAACAACTTTTCCTATTACGTATAATCTAGGAAAAAATCAACCAAAAAAATCATAATTTAATGAAATATATGTTTACGTATGTGAGAATAAATTTTGCTCAACACTGGAAGAAAGATACAATTCTAACAATATCAGATTAGGAACTTAAACTTGGAGAATACACAGCAATGGCAAAAGTAACAGTATATATACACAATAGAAGTTTAAATTTAAACAAGAACTATTCCCATACATACAACATATCATGCAGTATGGCAAATATAATCACTTATGGTCTGGCTTCTAAGGGGACCTAAATGTCTACAAATATTGCAAATTAGCAGATGTATAAAAAAAGAGGAGTCAGAAACCCAATAATCCTTTTTTATTTTCTTTTTTCTTTTTTTCCCTCTACTTTTGGGGTACTTTAATTCTTGTTAAATTTGCTCCATTTATCTAATTTTTCCTTTCACTAATGTGTGTGTGTATGCGTGTGTATAAAAAAAATCCCCTCTCACCCCTATGGGTTGTTTGCGTCTTCCTCAATCTTGGGTCCTCTACCAGAGGCCTGGGAGTTTGAGGGTTCTGTGCAGTATCTTAGCTGTTCCTGGCATGCACTCTTCTGGACAGAGAGCTCAGATGTTGTTCCTGGGATCTGGAGCCACTCTCCCAACTTAGGAGTAACAGCCCCGAGTGCTCCTACCACCACCTGGTTACACTTGCCAGACCCAGCCGGCCCTCCTTCTGGCTGGTGTATAGTCTCTGGATGTTGGACTTGGGGTGGAAACCTCCATACATTGTGAGGAGTTTCCGGATCTTCACATTGGCAGCCTCAGTGTCCTCCTTTGGCCAGCTCACTATACCAGCAGGGTATCTGATGACTGGCAGGGCATATGTGTTGATGTTGTGGATCTTGTTCTTTCTATTGAGCTGGCTCTTCAGGACCCATCTTATCCTTTGGTGGTACTTGGATGCTGCTGTCTTCCTTGCCTCCTTCTAATGGTTCCCATGTGACTGTGGGATACCAAGGTACTTGTAGCTGGTCTCAATGTCTGCTATGTGGTCCGC